AAATAAAAAGGATATTTATACTTAAGATCAGAAGGAGACAGTTGAAAATTCTAGGGAAAATAATGAGGAAAGAGGGCTTGGAAAATTTGATACTCACAGGACAGATTGAAGGCAAGAGAAACAGAGGAAGTCAGGGCGTAACACAGCTAGCGAGTTTGTGTAAATGGATGGCAAAACATGGTTTAGGAGAGATAACAAAATAAAAAAATATATATTAAGTTCTAAAAAGGATAGTAAATAGTGGGGGGGGCATAATTGCCTACGTCTTGAAGAGGCAGAGTCAGTAGAGGAAGAAGACTTCATTTGGAGGTCTCAATCAACGAACTGGTCAGTGAGATATTCTTGCTTATCATCACGACCTGACAGGTGCATAACGTTTACCTCAGAAGAACACAAGACTATAAGTAGAGGGTGCACTTGTAAGGATGTAATAAAATGAGATTTCTAAGCGCAGTTCTCCAGAAAGGAGGCGCACTTCATCTCCTTTCGACTGGGACTTATTTCGCATTGCTTCTCAACGCTACTCCCTATTGGTTCTTAGTTCTAGATCCGTCTAGTTTTTACCCCTCTCTCTTTTCATATGCCACTCTTTCGTTTTTTTCTTTTTCATTTTTTTTTAATTTTTACTCCCTCTTTTTCTTTTAATCTTTTGCTTTCTCTCGCAGTTTTAAAATCCAACTCTTTTCATGTCGTTCAACGATAAATGATTGCATTCTTGATGAGGCTTCACGCTTTCAACGTCCATTGGGTTTCAAGTTCTCTCCAGATCTCAAGTGGAATTTACATATACAATTTATTGCTAAATATACTGGAAAATGATCGACTCATTCTATCGCTTCAGGAAGTACCTAATCCGCTCTACCTCACTTTATCATTAAACGCGCCATAAATGACATGAAAGGGAATATTGCTGTCATATCTGAGCTGGAGTTTCTCAATCCTGCTTACTAGATCTGATAGAGTTCAAGAGCTTTTACTGAAAATGGAATAACGTTGCCATATCTGGGCTGGATCTCCTCAATCTAAAACTTGCCAGATTTGATAGAGTTCTAGATCGTTTTCCGAAATTGAATATTAGTGTCATATCTGGGATAGTGCTGCTTACTTTTCACTTACCAGCTTTGCTAGAATTCAAGACCGTTTACCAAAAATGGAGTATTGCTTTTATATTTGGCACAGAGCTTCTCAATCCTCACTTAACAGCTTCGATAGAATTCAAGACAGTTTATCACAAAAGGAATATTGCTGCCATATCTTGGTTGAAGCTTCTCAATGCTGCCTTAAAATCTTAGCAAGAGAACAACAGCGTTTATTGAAAATGGAATACAGTTGCCATATCTGGACTGGATATCCTCAATCTAAAACTTGCCACCTTTGATAGAGTTCAATATTTGCCGAAAATGGAATATTGATGTCATATCTGGGATAGTGCTGCTCAGTTCTCACTTACCAGCTTTGTTAGAATTCAAGATCGTTTACCAAAAACGAAGTATTGTTTTTATATCTGGCATAGCTTCTCAATCCTCACTTACCAGCTTTGATAGAATATTCAGTCATTTACCGAATATGGAATATTGCTGTCATATCTGGACTGGAGCTTCTCAATACTAACTTACAAGGTTTCAATGAGATCAAGATCGTTAAAGCGAAAATTGGAATGTTGCTGTCATATCTAGGCGGCAGCTGCTCAATCTTCATCAGCGTTAATAGAATTCAAGATCGTTTACCACAAATGGTATATTGCTGCTGTATTTGGTCCGAAGCTGCTTAGTTCTCACTTAACTGCTTTGATAGAGATCAAGATCGTTTAAGCAGAATTGTAATATTGTTTTCATATCCGGCTGGAGCTTCTCAATCTTCACTTACCAGATCTGACAGAATTCAAGACAGTTTACCACAAAAGGAATATTACTGCCATATCTTGGTTGGAGCATTTCAATCTTGCCTTATCAACTCAGAAAGAGAATATCGTTTACTGCAAATGGAATATTGCTACCATATCTTGGCTGGAGCTTCTCAATCTTCACTTACCAGATTTGACAGAATTCAAGACAGTTTACCACAAAAGGAATATTGTTGCCATATCTTGGTTGTAGCTTTTCAATATTGCCTTATCATCTCAGAAAGAGAACATCGTTTACTGCAAATGGAATATTGCTATTATGGCAGGAGCTTCTCAAATCTTCACTTACCATTTTAGATAGAGAACAAGATCGTTTATCGAAAATGGAATATTGGTTACTTACATTATTTACATTATTCTGATTGTTATCCATATTCACAACGTTTCGGCCGTTGTACGTTCCGGCCTTCTTCAGGTGATTGGAATTTTGAACCGAACCCTTTATTTCGTCCGCCGGGGAAGATTGTTCTAGTTCCAATTGCCTCAGTCTCAGTTATCTCCCTTTGACTCAACTCTCCAAGTGGCCTGGTATTGAACTCACAACTCTTCGGGTCTAGTTACTGGATCTAACCAACGTCCTTATCCACTGGGCCATCAAGAAAAAGTTCTACGAACTTATTTAATTTTCATGATCACGATGATGATGAATAATTCTGTAAACATCATTGTTGAGTATATAGCCTCACCACACCAGGCGTCGTTGCTACGTTTTCGGTGACAAGTAGAGTGGGAGTCCCACGCCTAAACGGGTTTGAATTCAGGGTTATCATTCTCCTAGACAGGTTATTAGCTAATGCTAGAGTGCCTCATTTTCAAAGTGTGGGTAATAGATGGTTTCATGCCTTTCCAAGTATATTTTTGATAAAGCAAAAGCCACGTACACAGAATTTGATCACGGATCTCCCATCCCGATTTCAATGTCGTTAACTGTTACACGAGGCGTATAACCATTCGGTTATTTCCGGAATCAAATATCGTTTCTCTTCGTCTTTTGATTCTGTTGTTTCGCTCATAGCAAACACTTTCCCCTTGGTTGCCAAATTCGTCTCCGTTAGATATTTCCATGCACAGAACAACGTAGCCACGTTTTTCAAAATGTTGCAGTAAAATTAAGACCCGACAGCAGAATGTGCTTGAGAAATTTGAAAAATCTATTAATTTCTTCCATTAAAGATGTCTGGTCGTGTTGAAAATAGAACTTCTAATTGAATACGGTGTATCTTGAATAAATTTAATTTCATTATCGTCTTGTCAAATATGTTGGAGAAAGAATTATTACAAAGGTAAAATTGGACAAGGATTTTATAACTGATTACCTGCCTCGCTTTACCCTAATGATTTATATACTTTATTTCACTTTTCCAGTTTTAGTATTTAATGTCCCTACGTTCACTATCTTTAACTCACATTCTGCTTTTCCCTTTATCTCTCTTTCTTTCTCTCTCTCTCTCTCTCTCTTCTCTCTCTCAATTTATCTATCTCTTTCTTCACTTCATGTCATATTTCATACCTATTTCCTGTCTTGCTCGTTATACATATATATATATATATATATATATATATATATGTGTGTGTGTGTGTGTGTGTGTGTGTGTGATTGACAGCGCGCGTGTGTGTGTGTCTATATTTGTCTATGAATAGAGTGTCATATACAGATTTATACCGTCATTTTTTTACAGCACTTTGTCAGTTGTCTGCGCGCCGTTATATGTATGGTATTTTTGCAGTTAATTCTATATATTTGTAATTGAAGATTCTCCTCTCTCTTCCCCTCTCTCTCTCACTCTCTCTCTCTCTGCATTTCTCTCTCTCTCTATGCATTTCTCTCTGCATTTCTCTCTATCTTTGTGTATTTCTCTCTCTCTCTTTCTCTATCTATCTATCTATCTATCTATCTATCTATCTATCTATGTCTGTTCATATATGTGTCTATGCCTGTTCATTATCTATCTATCTATCTATCTATCTATCTAACTATCTATCTTTCTCTGTGTTTCTTTATATGCATATTACCAAAATTTAAGAAAACAGCTAATACTTCCATTACGATATAATTTGTTTTATTATATAGTCGATACGGACCGGATAGAATAGAATATATTTTAAGTCTCTATAGTTCTTTTATATCGTACCCTTTCACGATATGGCGATAGTAGCCCTCCAAAACATCCTGTGGATCTACGTATCTATCTTTCTCTCTCTCCCACTCCTTCTTTCTCTAAGCAACTTTTGAGCCCTTACTATTCCTCTTCGTCCTTGTTTTGTCATTCATTCACTCAAGCTTGTTCGGTAGATTACTCGCAGTTCTTTTAACGGCTGCCGTAATCGACGGGCAAATCACGCTAAGAACAACGGTCTTCGTTCGATCAGTGCTTAGATGAGGTACCACTTGGAAATACCGCGTACTGTAAGCAGCCTCCAACAATCCGAAATAAGTTTTGGCTTTACATAACCCACAAAAGGTTGATAAGCCGTAAAAACCCAATAAATCTCCAATTTTTAACGTGTCCTGTGGGTTTTATATTTTTCAAGCTTCTTTCTTCATTACGCGCTTCAAAAATTATAAAGTTGCATTCTTTTTCATTTCCCTCTCTCTCTCTTTATGTGCCTTTCTTGATATTATTCATATATAAACACACACACAGACACACATATATATATATATATATATCCATAGATGTCTATCAATGATTGCTCATATCTATTGGCAGTGTCGTACACATACAGATCTATGTTTATATATATGACTTTATATTAGTCTGTCAATAACTGTTAATATCTATCTATCTATCTATCTACCTGTCTGACTGTCTATCTATCTGAGTTTATATCTATCTAGCTATCAGGCTATTTTTTATCAAGAGAGCTCAATCAAATTAAAGAAATGTTATTATATATATATATATAATTATTTAAAAACAAAAATAGTCATTTTGTTTCAACACATATGGTGTCTTATCAAGTGATGATGTTAAATGTAGATTGTAGAATAAAGGTTTATTCTACAATCTTTATTCTACAATCTACAATCTACATTCAACATAAGACACCAGAGGTGTTGAAACAAAATGGCTATTTTTGTAGTGATTTTCTAACATATTTATGTTATAATTTTTAAATAAATAATTATATTCGCTCTACTCTGTATTGAGCACTCTTTTAGGAATAGTAATTGTTGGTTATTGGAATTTATTCCGTATGCACCAATCATATACTTGGTATATATATATATATATATATATATATATATATATATATATCTATATATATATATCTGTGTGTGTGTGTGTGTGTGTGTGTGTGTGTGTAGACGTGTACGTGTGTGTGCGTAGAGAGAGAGAGAAATTATAGTCTCTGTTTACCTTAAAAAACATCGTTGCTCACATATTCTATTCATGGTATTCTCATGATCCGTGGATGCAATCATATCTCTATCTGTTACTTCCATGACAAATATTTAGATCGAATCCATTCTTCAGCGTCACGTGCTCAGGACTTTTGCAGCCCAACGCCGAATTGCTTCGTCCAAAGTGTTGAAGCATCCGCATTTCCCAAGTAATCTTTTGGAAAGAAAAAGTTCCACTCCGAAGGCTTTTTTCCAAATAACCGCTACTTAGTGACGCAATCTCTTGCGTGGAGGCTTCCCCAAAAACAGCACTCTTAACCTGTTCAAGTCTCAAGACAATCGTTATCTATCCACCATATCCTTGTAATATCAACACCCTACGTCCTCCACTTTCGTTTCAAATAACACACATAATTCAGTAACCCTCTACCTTGTGTACATATTGATGCTGGTATTGAGTAAAAGAAAGAAATTCACAATTAATACAGAAAATAAAGCATTTTTTTTTTATCTAAGAAGGCATTACCACACCTTCATTGATATACCGGGGATAGCAAAATAGTCCAAATCGTGTAACAGCAAAATTGTCCAATTGTTAGATTAAGATCTGAAACGTTGTATCATAGAAATTATTAAAGATATCTTACTGGAATTCTCCAAGGTTTTTATAACATTATTAGATTCTACTCTGATCAATTAGAATGTATAATTACTCTCCAATCTTAACAGAAGAATCGTGATGAGATCGATCATAAACGAAAATGACATGTTCATCATTAATTAATCATAGCTAAGTATCGGAATCTCATGAAGGACTGATATAAAGTTCATAAATATATATATATATATATATATATATATATATATATATATTATTGTAGGATTATTAGCTTATACAAGATGTTCTTCGCCCTCTAACCTTCTAATCTTCTGTCCTGGTATATCAAGGTGCCTCATAGGTTTCACGTACGATTTCATTGTCATGTCTTTTTTCACTGCTCTGAGAACTGATACAGCTGAAACTCCATTCTCACGTGCCAAAATGTCTTATGGATTGTGTTGGATCTTTTGCAATTGATCTCTTTATCTTTAAGTTGAAACGATGATCATTCTTCCTGTTGCGACATCCTAATCCAGTTTTCCTCTCGGCTGTTCCTTCTTTTTAAAACTGATAAACCGTTCTCTTGATGGTTCGTGAATTGACTTTGAAGATGGAAGCCAGAGTATGAATGTTGATAGCATTATTGAAGGCCTGAATGATGTTCTTTTTTTTTTTTGACCATTGCTCAGTTAAGAAGACAGTGGGGCTGACACAAAACGATTTAACCTGTTCTCTTTATAGCTGAATAACTCAAAGGGTTTTTAAGTAATTCTTACGACAAATGGAGTCAAGGTGATTAAACGTGTTACCCGAAAACCTGGAAAAAAGAAACTCATATAGTTTAATGGTTTTTAGATATTAGACATTTTGGAGGATGGACAATTATGCTGTTACATGATTTGGACATTTTTACTGTTACACCCGGTATATTAGTTTATATTTAAATGTTACCAATTCTAAAATATGTCTATTATACACAAGGGATTTTTTTTCAGAATTTCGTAGCCAAATTTCAAGGGAGAATATTATACCTAAATGTTTGGGCGCACCCACCTTCTGAGGAGAATGGACTGATTTCTCTACGATATAGGTCAGTGCTAGAGAGATCAGGGGAGATCTGTGCATCATGAGATCCAGTCATCACGTTCGGTGGAGATCACGAGATCATTGCACTTCCTTCCCTTTTAATTTACATTGTTAAAAACTCGATGGTGCTTTTCAACAATAATTAAAAGTTCATTTATCATTAGGACTTTATTTTTAAGCAATATGGCAAATTCTACATGCAAAACGCTCTCTTTTGAAGAAAAAAAACAACTCATTATCGCTATCAAGAAAAAAAAGTCAGTTTCAGAAGTTTCTGATATTGTTCATAGGTCTAGAAGTGTCGTTCATTGTGTAATTAGCAGGTATAAACCGATAAAACGTTAGATGCAAAACCAAAAACCGGCAGACCTCCAAAAACATCGCAAAGAGAAGATCGAAGAATTGTTAGAATATCTACAAAAAACTGTTTTGAAACTGCTACATCAATTGCCCGTAAATTTAATGAAGAGACAGATAATAAGATCTCAAGAAAAACGGTTGCTCGCAGGTTAAAAAATGCAGGATTGCATGCCCGTATTCCAGCTTCGAAGCCTCTCATTTCAAAGCGAAACCAAAGGGTACGCCTGGAGTATGCGAGAGAACATGTTGTTTGGACTGACACACAATGGGATACAGTTCATTTCAGTGACGAGTTCAAGTTTACTATATTTGGTTCTGAGGGCAAAACTTACGTACGCCGTAGAACAGATGAAAGACTGTTTTCTCAATGTGTCAAGAAACCGTTAAGTTTGGTGGCGGCAGGATGGTGTGGGAATGATTTCATCTGCAGGAGTTGGCCTTATCATCCGCGTACATGGCAATATCAATGCTAAGATTTACAAAAGGCTTCTTTAGCAGTATGTGGTACCAAGATTACACGCCATAATCTTTTTATGAATCTCTATTTTCATGCAGAACAATGCACCCTTTGTCACAAGGCTCGAAGGTTATGGCTTTATTTGAAGAAGAAGGAATCGCCCCTAATGAAGTGGCCAGCCCAGAGCCCCTGAACTGAATCCAATAGAAAAATGTTTGGAAGATAATTGGAGAAAGGGCTCAGAAAAGAAACCTGAAAACCAGGATCACCTATGGAGTTATTGAAAGACGAATGGGAGGAATTACTGCTGAGTTTTGCAAGAAATTAATTAGATCACGTGGTCGACGATGCAGAGAAGTCATTGAAAATAAGGGGATGTTTGCCAAATATTAAATCTTGTTGATATTTTGTTCATAATCAAGTATTAACAAGATCGTTCCTTAACTTTTGTCCAGTAGCTTATTTCCTTTGTTCCATTTAATCTTTATTTTAAAAAAAAAAACACTATTATGTAATTTTTTGTAACTTTGTATAATATTTATGCATTACACCCTAATCTTTATTCGGTAAAAATTTCATTGCTAATCATGCATTACTTTTTAATTAATACACGTAATTTTGTCTTTGTTCCGTTCCTTATATTATGGCCCCTACTGTATATATGTTTCAGGTGGACTCTCTCGTGTCATCTGACAACTGATATCTAGCATTTGCCTAATTAAATCCTGATATCATTTTTTTTCAATAATTATTTCCTTTCAGGATATACTATTTATAATGCTATTTAACGGGCTAAATTCAAATATGACAATAAAATTGTTTATTGTTTACACAAAAAACATGTTTCCCGCGTTTTATACATTTATAATGTTTTTATTTTATTTTATGAATTATTTTATGAATTATGATTTTATTTCATGTTATCATTTATTTATAGTGTACATAGCGGATATTTAATCATGAATTTTAAAACTGTGTTTTTATTTGACTGAATTACAACTTAACACCCGGGAAAACGATTGCTAACCTTATATTTTTTTCAGTATGTGCCCAACACTTGTCGATTCGTATTTTTTCGCCATTTTTAATATCGACTGTGAGATCGTGATGGTGAAAGTCTCACACCAGTGCCGACTCGTGGT